TCTCCAAATGCAATGTTTCTCACCTGGAAGGTCCCTGTGCCCCTAAACTGGGGGCACACCAGAGCAGAGAGTGGAAAAAACCAGCGTGTGTTTGAGGAAGAGCCGTGCTGGCTCCCAGCTGCACAGCTGGCAGGCAGGGACTCCTCACATCCCACACCCCTGTCCTGGCTCTGCCATGATTTGTGTGACCTCTGATGGAAAGTCCTTGTCCACCCCATGCAGGGATCATCCCCTGGGGCAATGATGTTTTGGGACACTCAGTGGGTGAACCACTGCATAACAAATGTCACCTCTGTGCCCCAGGAAATGCCTCCACCCAAACACCCCTGGGGCTCTCTGCCATCCCTGTGCAGGGCAAGAGAACATCCAGAGAGTCCCAAATAGGTCCAGGCTTAGAGCCTGAAACTAAATCCCTTCTCAACCCACAGAAGACCAGAACAGGATTCTCTTTCCTTGGGCTCCCTCCACCACAAATTGTTGCCTAGCTGGAAACTCACTTGAGAAACCCCTTTGACCTCAATCCCCTGTTACCTTCTCATCACCTCCACAAGCAGGGTCATTTCCTGGGACTTTGAATTCGCACTGCTGGGTGCTCACACTTTCCCCATTTCCCCTCTTCCCTCTCACCTGCAGCTCCCTGGGCCAACAGGAGGATCAGGGGGAAGAGCAGGAACAGGATCTTCATGGCTGCTGCCTCTCCTGGGTCTTCACAGGGCTGCAGAGCGGACACCAAGGCAATGGGGACATGCAGGAGCCCAGGCAGGGCAGGAGCCAGTGTTGCAGGGCTCTGTGGCTCAGCAGAGAGCAGAGGGGCTGCCTCCAACCACATATGATCAACTTCCCTTTACCTTTCTCTAAAAACAATTCTTAGGTCTGTGCCAGCCTTCAAACCTTGGCAGTATTCCACTGTCTCAGTCTCTGGGAAATCAATAACCTGCACTGATTCAATTGCCTTCCTCATAGATCTTCTGAAACCTTTTCCCAGAGCACAGACTGCAGATCTGGGACCCACTGTTGCTGGTGAAACCAAAATAAATGGCCAGTGAAATTTGGGAAATGCAGAGATAAAATGGCCATTGACAGGCATGGAACTACAGGGCTGTTCCTCCTTTGGGCTTCATGTATCAAACACACACCCCAAACACCCTGACCAATCCTCTCTGCTTCCCTGGGATCACAAAAGTCCTCCCAGTTCAGCTTGGCAGTGTCCATTCCCAACCCCAGAGCATTCCCAGGATTCCCAGCAAGGACATTCCCCAGCACTGACCCAGGGAGCAGCCAGAGGGCAGGGACGTGTCTTGGTGCCCAGAAATGGGAAATGAAAACAACCTTTGCATTTATTGAAAGCTTGAAATGATGGGAAATCTCCACACTGGTTTGGGAAAAGTGCCTCTCTTTTTTGCTAAGGAAAGTGCCCATTCTCCCAACAATGATCTCATCTCCTCTTTGCAGCACAGGCACCAATCAAGTCCCTCCTGCAGTTAGGAAAACAAAATTTCACTTTTCACATGTTCTGGACTCTTAGACTACTCTTAAGACTTTTATTCTCTTTCCCAGACATCTCTGATAGCCAAATTTTCCACCTGGACACATCCAGTAGTTTGTGCTTTAGGAGACTCTCCTGTCCTGAGCTTTGACCTGAGACCTTCAGTGGGCAGGACTGCAGAAAAAGGCTCCACACTCACCTGCTTGGAGAAGGTCTGGGTGTTGAGGCAGCAGCAAATCCACCAGGAATGGCTGTGTCCAGGATGCCCTGGGGGCCAGGGAATGCTGCTTTGCCCCAGACAGGCTGGATTTATAGCAGTGCTGGTGGGTGGGACAGGCCCCAGTTGCTGCTGGCACAAGTGGCCTGGGCCAACCCAGGAGTGCCCCGTGTGTGTGGGAGTGCTGGGGCTGGCCCTGCTCCCTCCCTGCTGCAGGGGCAGGGGCTGAGGTGCCTCCTGGGGCTGTTGCAATCAATGTCACCGTTGTCCCCATGCAACACCTCTTGTGACACCCATGGCACAGCAGCAACGAGCTGGGATGGATAGGGGAGGGATGGGATGGACAAGGGAGCTGGGTCGATGTTGGGAAGAGCAGAAATGAGGAAATGGTTTGCTTCTTTGCATTCTCTCATTTTATTGACATTATAAATATGCAGAGTGGGATGTGGAAGATCTGACTGACTATTGTAAAAGTGTTCAGCTTTGCACGCTGAGAGGAAAGTTTCACCTCTCATTTCACCTCAACAGGTTTGTCTGCATAGTTTGTAAAGAGTGGCAAAATAAAATTTCAGGGTTAGCACAGGGGAAGGAAAGGCCACAGCAGGCAGGGTTGATATTAACATCCCTCAACAAACTCTGCAGTTCTAGAAAGCAATGGCAACAGAAAATTTTTTAGTGTCTGTCTCTTCTCACAGGTAAAAATTGACAGGAACAAAGGAAATGGACATAAGCAGTTCCAGGGAAGAATTAATTGGGTATTAAGAATAGTTTCTTTGCAGAATCCATAATAAGCTTTGGGACAGGCTGCCCAGGGCAGCAGTGGAATTACCAGCCCTGGAGGTATTTAAAAGCCATATGCATGTGGCACTGAGTGACTTGGTTTAGTGGTGGCCTTGGTAGTGCTGGAGGAATGGTTGCACTCAATGAGCTTAAAGGGCCTCTCCAACACCAATAATTCTATGACTCTATGATTCTTGGGAGGGAAAACTGTCCCTGAAGCAGGCAGTTACTCTTGCACACACAAGTACATGGACGCACATATATAGCAAACTATTCAAATGCTAGCGCCTGAGGTTTGCTTTGTTTGGTTTGAGAGAGAAGCCCCTGCCTTTCATGGAACACAGCATTGTCACTCCCCTGGGCAAACAAATTTGGTCAGTTCCACAGCAATATGGCACCTTTTCACACGTCAGCCTAAGATTTGAACAGCTTCCTCCTCCTCTTGTGTGGTGGGATGGGGTGTGGAGCAGCACAGCCACAGCAGGGAGGGCTGTGGGGCTGGAACAGGACAAGGACAAGGAGCAGGGACGGCTCCTGTGGGTCACCATGGCCATGCCCACTAAGGGACACTGCCCCCTGCACAGCTCAGCACATGAGGCCGTGGCTGTCAGGGACAAGGGACATCTGGGTCTGGCAGGAGCAGCAGAGGGATCCCAATTCCCCAGAGGGAGCATCTGCAGGACAGCTCCAGCACAGGCACCCCAGCCAGCCTGGCCCAGCAGGCACTGCCAGGCTCAGCGTCCCCAAACCAGGGCCAGGCAGGAGCATCCCCAGGGACACAGCCACTGCTCAGCCCCAGCACCACCCCCAGGCCCTTCTGCTGCCACAGGCCAGTGCCACCCTGTAGTGGTTTAGATTTGCCAATCTGCGTTTTCCGCCCAATGAACCAAATAATGTGGTGGGTTTTAGCATTAGCTAAAATCACCAGAGTACTTACTCATTTCTTGCTGTGAGAAATGGATTAGGAGAAGGGAAAACAGGCTTAAAAGGAATAAAGAAACTTTATTAACAAAACTACAAGAATAAGAAACTACAGTAAAATCTCCAGAAACCTTTTCTCCCCCCACCCAACTTTTTCGTTTCCCATCTGACACCGTAGCGACAAAGCCTGGGATGCTAAAGCAATACCAACTATACAATGGTCTTTTCATCAGTCTTTGTAGGGAGAGGAGTTTTCTCTTGTCATTCCATGGAGAGTTCTCCACAAGAAACAGTTCTCTGGTGGCTTTTCATTTCTATGACTGGCAGCTGCCTAGGTACACACTCTGCCATCATGCTCTCCCCCCATTTTCACACCACTTAGAGGTGTGTTCATGGGCCACGAACTCAAGGGGTATTTTTTCAAGGATGAGTTATTCAAAGGCAAAGGTTCTCTCCATCTGTCTCTGTGATCATCTCTGGGAACAGAGGTTTTCTTCTTCTCTCCCTGGGGGCAAAGGGTCTTCATCAGCCCTCATTTCTCTGTTCAAGCATCTCATGGGATCACAGCTACTCCAACATCTGCTTAGCTTCATCAGTGGATACCTTTGCTCAGATCTATAGCTTGAGTACGTCATGCCCCCCAATACTCTTTCATGAATTAAAGGAGTTTTTCAGAACATTATTGTCCATCTCCATGGCCCTACCAAAATAATATTTCAGCCTATTAGAGCATCTCCTCATTCTCCTTCCATCTGTGGCTTGACTCCTTTTACTGACCTTGGTGTTTCATGTTGTCTCTCTACATGTCGATCACTCTGACTTTTCTCTCTCTGGTGAGGGGATTAAAGTCTGCAGGTCTCATCTGTGTAGTGAAAAAGGTTAAATCTTGCCCAAGCCACGCATGCAGTCACAGTGTTGGATTTCAAGCCGTGTTTGTGCCTCTCTCAGCCCGGACAGTTCTTGGCCTGGAGCCGTCTGTACGGGCCGGGGCTGTTTAGGACAGATGATTTTCAGTGGCTGTGCTGAGGGAGGGCAGCCAGCATCTCAGCAGACAGGTGGAGATGGCCAGGGGCTGATGGTTTCCCCACCCCTGCCTGGCAGCTTCTGGTAAAACTTAGCTGCAGCAGAATTTTAGCCGAGCTGGGGACCAGCCTGGCCTGGCAGCGCCACTGGAAAGGGCTTGGCAGGCTCCCCAGGAGGGCTCAGCAACCCTGGGAAGAGGCTTCTGCCACCTCACAGTCTCCATCCCTCATGCCACACAGGCCATGGGGGAGTGGGGCCAGTCCACCAGAGTTCTGCAACCTCTCAAGGCTGGAAAGAACGAGAGAGAAGTTCCCTGGCTTGGGTTTTTAAAAGGTGGTATTCACAAAGGTGAACTTACTCTTCAGTGGCGCAAAATGCTGTCAGTTCTCAGAACTGGCCAGCTGCTGGCCTGATCTCAAGCAGATAAGAAATTCCCAGTGGCCTCTCTCAGAGAAATCACTTCCATGGGTGTTTCCCACTTCTTTCTCTAAATGCCAAACTATCACACATCCCCAGAGTCAGCAGGCACAGCAGCCCTCCAGCAGCAGGACACACACACACACGGCCCAGGCGTGCAATGCCAAAGTGCTCGTCTTTATTCAAGCTGGGAAAAGCAGCCCCTGCCCCAAAGACAGCGGGGCTGGCACCACAGGGCTCCAGCCCAGCAGCACCCAGCAGGAGCAGCTGCCACTGCTGCTGTCACCCCAGCTGGGCATGGTACGGGCAGGGACGGGAGGGAACACCAGGAGATGGGTCCAGCAGTCAGAAGCAAATGGGATGTTCTTATCAGAAATTTCAGGGTTTTCACCCTAAAATTTGTAGGAAGAAAAGAAACAAGCACATCATGTGGTGTAACTTTCCCTGTCCCTCTCTCCCCCTGCCCTGCAATGCCCAGGGTGTGGTGCAGCAGCCTCAGGCTCAGGGCAGGTGAGGTGCAGTCCTTGGTGCAGACAGGTTGGACCTGGGCTATCTCAGTGCTGGCAGCCCTGGCTCCAGGTCTGTGCAGGTGCAGCAGGACCTGGATCATGTCCTCAGTGCTGCCCAAGGACCATGAAGGTTTTTCTCTTTAGTTGCTTGGGTGAGTGGGAAGGCCTTGGATGTCCTGTGTCTCCTTCAGCCTCCCTCAGGGTAGCTCCAAACCCCTGAGGATTTTTCCCTTCCTTTTTTGGCATTTCTCTTAAAGCATAAATGCAGGAGATTATTTATCAAGAGTTGTCAAGAAAGGAATTTGTAACAGATCCTTCTGAGGAAAAAGGAGGAAACTCTTTCCTCAGTCAGGAAATCTAGATCTTACCTTCTGCAGCACACAGCTAGTGCTGTACATTTTCCAATACTTCTTAGAGGGGGGCGACATCTTACAAAAGAACAGATTCCTCTTCTCTCTCTGCATTGAATTATACTTCCTGTTTCCACGGGGAAAGACACACAGAATAATCACAGCAATAATCTGGCAGAGTGTGTGCTTGCATTCCTGCTGGCAGGCAGGGGACTCTTCACAACCCACATCCTTGTCTTGGCTGTGCCATGATTTGTGTGACCTCTGATGGAAAGTCCTTTTCTAGCCCTTGCAAGGATCGTCCCTTGATGATGGTTTTGGGACACTCACTGTATGAATCACTGGATGAGAAAGGGACACCTTTGTGTCCCATGAAGCAGCATCATCCAAACACCCCTGGGGCTCTCTGCCATCCCTGTGCAGGGCAAGAGACTCCTAAACAGGAATAGCTGGGTGTAGGCTTGGAGTCTGAAACCAAACCCTTCCTGACCTACAGAACAGGCCAGGCTGTTTTCCCATGGGGTCTCTCCACCCCAAATCAGTGTTGAGTTGGAAATTCACTTCAAAAAACAACTTTGACCTCAATCCCCCATTACCTTCTTATCACCCCCACAAGCAGGGTCATTTCCTGGGACTTTGAATTCCCACTGCTGGGTGCTCCATTTCCCCTCTTCCCTCTCACCTGACGCACCCTGGGCCAACAGGAGGATCAGGTGGAAGAGCAGGAACAGGATCTTCATGGCTGCTGCCTCTCCTGGGTCTTCACAGGGCTGCAGAGGGGACACCAAGGCAATGGGGACATGCAGGACCTCAGATGGTGCAGAAACCTGGGCTCTGTGTTCCTGAAATTGCAGAGGGGCTGCTTCCAAACACAGGAGATAACGTTTCCTCTACCTTTCTCTTGAAAACAATTCTTAAATCTGTGCCACCCTTCAATACCTGGGGTGTTTCACTATGTCCTGGTGTATAGGAAACCAATGACCTAAGAGGACTCATTCCCATGACCCTCACAGCTCTTCCAAAGACCTTTCCCCAGAGCACAGACCACAGACCTGAGGCCAACAGTTGTGAATTCAAACCAAATAAATATCCAGTGAAATTTGGAAGAGGCAGATAAAATTGCTTTTGAAATTGGTATTACTGAAAGCCTGAAATGATGGGAAATCTCTGTACTGCTGTGGGAACAGAATCTCCATCCTATCCTAGGGGAAGTCCCCATTCCCCTAGCAAAGAAGATCTCGTCTCCCTCCTGGAGCATCAAGGCACCATTCTAGTCTCTCCTGTACTTAGGAAACTTCAGGTCCAATTTCCACATATTCTGGCTTAGACTCACATGAAGGCTTTTATTTTCTTTCCCAGAGCCGTGGTTTAACGGAGCCTGGCGGTCAGTTGGGATGGGACAGTCCAAGGCCTGCAGGGGTGGTCCTGTGGGGACACAGCGGAGCCAATCAGGTGGCTAGTTTTGAAGAACCAATCAGGTGGCTAATTTTGAAGAGCCAATCAGGTGGCTAGTTTTGAAGAACCAATCAGGTGGCTAGTTTTGAAGAGCCAATCAGGTGGCTAATTTTGAAGAGCCAATCAGGTGGCTAGTTTTGAAGAGCCAATCAGGTGGCTAGTTTTGAAGAGCCAATCAGGTGGCTAGTTTTGAAGAGCCAATCAGGTGGCTAGTTTTGAAGAGCCAATCAGGTGGCTAATTTTGAAGAGCCAATCAGGTGGCTAATTTTGAAGAGCCAATCAGGTGGCTAGTTTTGAAGAACCAATCAGGTGGCTAGTTTTGAAGAGCCAATCAGGTGGCTAATTTTGAAGAACCAATCAGGTGGCTAATTTTGAAGAGCCAATCAGGTGGCTAGTTTTGAAGATTGACACCTGGTTCACCCACTTAAAAGATTTGAACACGCCTCCATGGAAAAGCACTTTAAAAATTAATGAAGGCCAGGAAAACCCTCTCTGGCTTCTAGCCTTTGATCAGGTCACTGGTCCTGTGTGGCCAGATGGGCACGGCCTGTGGCTGGGCGTGGCTTGGCTGAAATTTCTGCCCTCTGAGGGGTGGTGGGCAGGCTGAGGAGCCCCTCATCAGGGAGCCCTCCAGGCCTCATCCTGGCGGAGCCAGGCCCTTTTCCTAGCGGAGTCCCCCGGTTCTTTTTTCCGGTGGCACCACTGGGCCATGCTGGCCAGGGGCCATACCGGCAACCAGGCAGTGGGGACCAGTGCTGGGAGTGGCCCTATGGTCAGTCCTGAGGGCCTCCCTGAGGCCAGGAGCAGCCAGAGCCAGGAGGGACCACGTGCCTGGAACTGCATGGCCGAAATCAGCATGACCAGGACAATGGCACGCGGCTGTGGCTGCCTCAGCGTGGCTCGCAATGAACTCTGTGTTTAGCCGCTTTTAGCCAGCCCTGCTGCAGACAGGACAAAAACGGCAGCAGCAGCTTTTCTTGTTTTCGGCACTCCACGTGAAGAAAAGCACTGAGTGGTGCTGAGTGTCGGCAGAGACCCCGTGAGCAGCAGCGAGAGGTACAGCAAACGATCTCCCTGATGTATAGCCTGGATGAGATCAACCTTTCAGCGCTGCAGAACTCCAATAAAAGCTGCTTCAATTGATAAAGCTTGAGAACAAATGCCTACGAACACTGTTCTCTCCTGAATCAGGAAAAGGAAAGGGTAAAGACACACAGGGAAAACAATATGGGACACTGAGGTCAGTGAGGAAGGAGCTGAATTCTACTTGGGAAGAGACTGAGGAGATGCCTTAGTCTTGGGCTGAAATCCTCTTGTAGGGTATGGTGAAGATAAATTTGAAACATCAGACTTTGTTTTTCCTGTAATTCATGGAATGCATTGGGGGGATGTAGCATTCTAACTACAGCCGTGACCAGAAGCACCAATGTTGAAATAAGCAGATGTTGCAGTAGCTGTGATCCAGTGAGAAGCTTGAACAGGGAGACATGAGAGAGATGAGACTTTTGCCCTGGGAATAAAAGAAGAAAACCTCTGTTTTCCCAGAGATGGATGAAGAGAACTTTTGATTTTATGCTAGAACAGCTCATCTTTAAATAGCACCCCAATAAGTTGACATGGCCTGTGAAAGCAGCTGTGTGAAAGCTACAAGGCATTGGGAGAGACTTTCACGCTATGAACAGATTTTCCTTTTCTGGGCAGCTGAAGCCACAAGAGAACTGTTTCTTGTGGAGAGGTGTCCATAGCATGGCAAGAGAGACTCCTCTTCTAAGAGAACTGAAGAAAGACTATTTTAGACATGGTAGATTGACTGAAAGTCCCAGGTTTTGTCTCTACATTGTCAGTGGGAAAGAAAAGAGGGTGTGGGGGGAGGAGAAGTGTTATGAAGGTTTATTCTGATTTCTTAGTATTATTTCTTTTAATTCTGTTAAAGTTTTCTTTATGTCCTTTAAAGTTTTAGCCTAGTTTGCCTTTCTCCTAATCCTCATCTCACAGCAGAAAATGAGTAAATAATTCTAGTGGGTGCAAGGGCATTTGGCCAGCATTAGACCCAGCACACTCAGCCATCTCTGATGGCCAAACTTTCCACCTGGATACTTCCAACACTTTGTCTCTTCAGTGATTTTGTGGTGCTGGGCTTTGAGCTGAGACACTGAGTGCGCAGGATTCTGGAAAGAGACCCCACACTCACCTGCCTGGAGAAGGTCTGGGTGTTGAGGCAGCAGCAAACCCACCAGGAATGGCTGTGTCCAGATGCCTTTGGGGCCAGGGAATGCTGCTTTGCCCCAGACAGGCTGGATTTATAGCAGTGCTGGTGGGTGGGACAGGCCCCAAGTGCTGCTGGCACAAGTGGCCTGGGCCAACCCAGGAGTGCCCCGTGTGTGTGGGGGTGCTGGGGCTGGCCCTGCTCCCTCCCTGCTGCAGGGGCAGGGGCTGAGGTGCCTCCTGGGGCTGTTGTCATGTCACCATTGTCACAATCAATGTCACCGTTGTCCCCATGCAACACCTCTTGTGACACCCATGGCACAGCGGCAACGAGCTGGGCAGGAGAGGGAAGGAATGGGGGAACAGATCTGTGCTGCAGAGGTGAAGGAAGCTTCTAGTGACAGCTGCAGGGTCAGTGCCAGGACAGGTGAGAACCCATTGAGCAAAGGCCATGGCAGGCAGGGATGATCTGAACATCTCTCACCAAAATTCCCACTTGTGGGAAGCAATGGCAGTGGAAGCCTTTTGGATCTCTAAGATCACGGTTGAGACCAGCAGAGGAAATGGCCTCAAGTAGCACTGGGAAGGTTTAGACTGGATATTAGGAACAATTTCTTGGAAGGAAAGGTGGTCAGACATTGGATCAGACTGCCCAGAACAGTGAAGGAGTAACCATTCCTGGTAGGATTTAACAGCCATGTAGCTGTGGCGCTTGGGGACTTGGTTTATTGGTGGACTTGTCAGTGCTGGGGGAACAGCAGGACCCAATGATCTCAGAGGGCTTTCCAGACATCAGTAATTCTCTGAGTCCATGAGTCATGGGAGGGAAAGTCTTCACTGCAACAGGCAGTAACCAGTTGATCCCACGGGCATGTGGACATAGAGACACACAGGTAATGAACCATTCAAATCCTAGTGCCTGAGGTTTGTTTTGCAGACATGGACAAGTCACTGCTTTTGATGGAGCAGTGTTGTCACCCCAGACTGCCTGAGATGGGCAGAGAAAAGACAACACATTTATTACCTGTGTGTAAAATTTTGGACATTTCCTAGTGATGCTCAGTTTGGAGCCATTTCACAGGTTATCTGAAGCAGGAGCTGCATGACCTCCTCCTCCTGCTCATAGCTGGTGGGATGGGGTGTGGAGCAGCACAGCCACAGCAGGGAGGGCTGTGGGGCTGGAACAGGACAAGGACAAGGAGCAGGGACGGCTCCTGTGGGTCACCATGGCCATGCCCACTAAAGGACACTGCCCCCAGCACAGCTCAGCACATGAGGCCGTGGCTCTCAGGGACAAGGGACATCAGGGACTGCCAGGAGCAGCAGAGGGATCCCAATTCCCCAGAGGGAGCATTTGCAGGACAACTCCACCACAGGCACCCCAGCCAGCCTGGCCCAGCAGGCACTGCCAGGCTCAGCATCCCCAGACCAGGGCCAGGCAGGAGCATCCCCAGGGACACAGCCACTGCTCAGCCCCAGCACCACCCCCAGGCCAGTGCCACCCAGCAACCCTCCAGCAGCAGGACACACACACACACGGCCCAGGCCTGCAATGCCAAAGTGCTCGTCTTTATTCAAGCTGGGAAAAGCAGCCCCTGCCCCAAAGACAGCGGGGCTGGCACCACAGGGCTCCAGCCCAGCAGCACCCAGCAGGAGCAGCTGCCACTGCTGCTGTCACCCCAGCAGGGCACGGCATAGGCAGGGACGGGAGGGGACATCAGGAGATGGGTCCAGCAGCCAGAAGGAAGGGGTAAATCCTGCTTGGGAATTTCAGAGTTTCAACCCCAGATTCTGCAGGAAGAAAAGAAACAAACACATCATGTGGTGTAACTTTCCCCGTCCCTCTCTCCCCCTGCCCTGCAATGCCCAGGGTGTGGTGCAGCAGCCTCAGGCTCAGGGCAGGTGAGGTGCAGTCCTTGGTGCAGACAGGTTGGACCTGGGCTATCTCAGTGCTGGCAGCCCTGGCTCCAGGTCTGTGCAGGTGCAGCAGGACCTGGATCATGTCCTCAGTGCTGCCCAAGGAATGTTTCTTTCATGGCTTGGGTAAGTCCTCTGCAGAGCCTGAGTGAGGCCCTGGGGACTGGAGGAGATTGGGGAGGCCCTGGCTCTCCTGGGGCTGCTGCTGCCCCACTCAAGGCAGCTCCAATACCCACAAGAACTATTTCCTCCCTCCTTGGGCATCTCTCCTACAAAGAATAGATAAGGAGATTATGTAGCAGACATTCACAGGAAATAAATTTGCTGCATATCTCATTGTGGACAAAAGAGGGAACTCTGTCCTCAGGCAGGATTCCAGACCTTATCTCTTGCAGCACACACTGTACAGTGTGCATCTTCCAATGGGTCTCGCAGGGAAGTTGCATCTCCCGTAAGTGCAGTATCCTCCTCTTTGCCTGCATCCAGCTGCATTTTGGGTTTCCATGGGGAAAGAAACATACAGAACAATTAAAGCAATCATCTGTGAGAGCAGTGCATGGTTGCAAAAGGCTGATGGTATTTGTTCGTTTCTGGCCAGTGGATGGATTCAGCTCCAACCTCCCCACAGCAAAGATCACAGGGCAAAAGAACTTTCAGAGACACACAAAGAGGAACAGCTGGCTGCAGGGTGGAAGCCTGAAACCAAACCCCTTCCTGACTCACCAAAGAAGTTAGTATTCTATTTCCATGGGATCTTTCCACCCCATGTCTGTGTCCTAAAGAACTATCACTGGAGAAATCCCTTTGACCTCAATCCCCTGTTACCTTCTCATCACCCCTAAAAACACCGTCACTTCCAGGGACTTTGAATTCCCACTGCTGGAGTAATTCCCCCATTTCCCCTCTTCCCTCTCACCTGCAGCTCCCTGGGCCAACAGGAGGATCAGGGGGAAGAGCAGGAACAGGATCTTCATGGCTGCTGCCTCTCCTGGGTCTTCACAGGGCTGTGGAGGGGACACCAAGGCAATGGGGACATGCAGGAGCCCAGGCAGGGCAGGAGCCAGGGCTCTTCACCAAACTTCAGATGGACTGTTTCCAAACACAGATGATATTTCCTCTACTTCCTTCTTAAAAAGAATTCTGTGGTTTGTACCACCCTGTCAACCTCAGGAGCATTTCATGATGCTTCAGTCTCTGGAAAATCCATTACCTCATCCAATCCTTTTCCAGAAGACCCCACAGTCACCTACCTGATGAAGGTCTGGGTGTTCAGGCAGCTACAAACCCAACAAGAATCGCTGTGTCCAGCAACCCTTGGGTTCAAGGAGCACTTTTTGGCCAAAACACTCTGATTTTATATTGTTGCAAGCTGTGGGGACATTCACTCATTTCTGCTGACACATCTCCCCCTGGCCAATCAGAAGTCCACCCATCCATGTGGGGATGCTGGGGCTTCTCCTTAGCCCTCTCTGATGCAAGGACAGAGGCTGAGGTGCCTCCTGGGGCTGTTGCAATTGATGTCACCATTGTCACCATGCAACACTTCTTCTGCAACTCTGTGACACCCATGGCACAGAGGCACCCAGGCTGTGGTGGCATGGCATGAACTGCCTGGGGTGCACAAAACAGGCTGGTGGGTGCAGGCAGACGTAGGAACCAGTCCCAACCAATCTCTCCCGTGAAGGTCTTGAGGCCCTGGCACAGGCTGCCCAGAGGTTGCTGCCTCATCCCTGGAAGTGTCCAAGGCCAGGTTGGATGGGGCTTGGAGCAGCCTGGGATAGTGGAAGGTGTCCCTGATCATGGTGGGGGTGGAACTGGATGACCTTAAAAGTCCCTTCTTCCCCAAACCATTCTGAGATTCTGTGGTAAAATATTTTCTATGATAAAATATCTGTCTCTGTCAGTTTGCTTAGGGAGCTGGTGCTGTGTGACACACAGAAACATTCCAAAAATTTTGGTTTCCTTCTCTTTTACCTTCACAAGAACAGCTTCATCCTTGCCAAGCTGGCTTGCCTTCCACCTGCCAGGAAGTGATAAACCTAAGGATGCCTTTCTGATGTCTACTCAAATAGTCAAGCAGTGCAAAGAGGAAATGCAGTCAGGGGAGACCACACCTCGCCTCATTCTGTCTGAACCCACTGCTTCTGAAACTGCCCTAGTTGGTACAAAATCCACAAATGTGGATTTTGCTCAACAGCGGCAAAATGCTGTATAAAAATGTGCAATCTATGGGAGATTAGTGAAGGAAGGTGAATAGGGCCTTATCAGGCCTTAGAGGTGTGGACTTGATCAGGAAAGTTTTTGGATTTATAGGAATTCTGTGGTGTTTCAGAAGGCTGAAGATCAAGGTGGCTCATGGAGGAAAGATCATGAGAGAGAAAGAAGCAATGTTTCCATGGCTGCTTTCTGGCCCTAGATCCATCTTATTACGTGTCCTATATTCCTCCTAAACTTTATTTGTAACCCCTTTTTTTGTACAAACAGTCTGTCTGTGGTGTGTCTCCAGGGTGCTGGTCCATTGCTTGGAGAGACCAAAGCTCTTGGAGCTGGATCCTGAAGAGGAGAATGGACTTGAGATTGGATACATCAGGGACACAGGGTCTGGTGTCCTCTCTCAGAGAGATGCATGGGATCATGGAATGGTTTGGGTTGGAAGGAACTTTGGAATTCATCTCATTCCACCCTGTGCCAAGGGCAGGGACGCTTTCCACTATCCCAGGATTCTCCAAGCCCTGTCCAGCCTGGCCTTGATGCATGGTGGGGACATCCCTTGAGCATGAATCTGTAGAGGTAGGATTGGGTGTCCATTGATGGGTCCTTGGAATATCCTCGCTTCTGGAGGTTTGGAACCAGACTCAGGACCAGTCCAGGGCAAGCACAGCCAGGGATTGCTGCTTATGGTGTGGAAAAGAGTTCTGTAATCCCCACTACAGGGAGGCCATGGCTGGGGTCAGCCCTGCCCTGGGAAGCTGCTCTGACCTGGGCATCTTGTGCTCGACCCCATCTGAGCTGCAGCTTGGCCTTGATGATCCAGACCTGGACTTGGACCCACATCTGGCACCCTAATCTGACCTTCCCTGTACCCACAGCAATGCCCAATACCCCAGGAGAGGCTGTTCCCAACCCTGGCTGCCCTGCTCCATGGAGGGGAGCAGTGAGTGTCCCCTGTCCCAGCATCCCTGTGGTCACTGCCCCACAGCAGTGCAGGGGCCACCCCCGTGGCACCCCTGAGCTGAGCATCCTGGATCTGCCACCCAAATCATCCATAATGACCCAGCTGGGCTCCTAACTGAGCCCCAGCCTTGACACCCTCCCAGCACTGACCCCCAACTCAACCCTAAACTCCTGAGAACCCCCATGGCTCAGCCATCAGTCCCTGTTCCCTCTGGAGCAGAATGACTTCTCCCACCCCCCAGATAGCCGTGGGCCCCACAACACCCCCTGCTGCCCCACACCCAGGCCCCACAGCTGGGGATGGACCCAAGGCAGCGTGTGTCCTGTGGAACAGCCCCACAAGGACTCCTGACCCATCCTGGGAGCCAGGGGACAACCAGCAGGTCCCCACTGAAATGAGGGTGGTTATAGCAACCCCTCCATCCCTATCTGAGAAGTGCTGGGGTCCCCTTGCTGAGACAGAAGGCTGGCATTGGGGTCCCTGCGAGCGTCACACGTGTCCCCCCTCCCACCATGGGTGGAGATGCTGGTGTGGCTGAGGCCAGCATGGAGAGAGGGACAGTGTTTGTGTGTCCGTGTCTGCCAGGAATTCACCCCATCCTCTCTGCCCTTCCCTGCACGCAGAGAAAGAGATGCACACCCAGGACACACATCTCAGTGTGTGATGGCAATGACCACCACCTTGTATTGGGGACACTGGGGGATGGGATTCCCTTGGGATCCAGGTCTGGCTGTGCAGGGCTGCTGCTGCCCCTGGCAGTGCTTGGTGCCTCCAGGCAGCATCGTCCCGACCAGGGGGCCGGTGTGCTTCTCGGGGATCCGGGAGCCCCTCAGGGATACCACCGCCTGTGGGAGGAAAGCTCTGGCAGTGCAGGAATGTCCCTGCACCCTTGGACTGCGCGTTCCCCGTTTTATCCCCCAAGCTGAGCCCTCCGGGCAGCCCAGAACTCACATCCGACAGCAGAATTCCTGCTCGGAGCAGAGCCCGATGCGGCCGATCCCCGGCGGGCAGGAGCGGTGGGAGCAGAATCCCCCGCGGCGCTCGCAGTCCTGGGCTGATGCTCGGACCGGGGACAGCCCTGCAGGGCACGGAAACAGGAGACTTTCAGCCGGGGTGCTGAGCACAGCCCCTGTCCCTGCCAGCCCTGCTTGTCCCCTGCCACAACTGCTGAGCAGGAGCCTGCAGCAGAAATCCGGGTGAGTTTATGGCACTTTATGGGTGGGAGACAGTCACTACACCCCTAAGCAGGCTCTGGGAGAGGTCTCCATCGTGTCTGCTGCCTCCTCCCTGGAAGAAGGGAGAAATCCAAGGGTGGAAGCACGATTTCCCTTCCTCCCCGCTCCTCCTCCTCCTCTCCAGCAGGGCTGCTGTGCCCAGTGCTGCTGACTCAGAAATACAAGGGTCAGGAGTCATGGAGAGGGGTCAAATCCCTGTTTGGGAAGGATGAGAGCTTTAATACAATGCCCCAGATCTGCTCCCAACATCAGAATCTGCATCTGGAGTCTTTCTTTAAAGGTGTGGGGTGAGAGGGACCCTGGCGGGGATGGCACAGACACCAGGAGAACTCAGAGGTGTCTCATCAGCTCAGGTGACAAATCCTCCCTAAAAAACACAGACAAAGGACAAATCCTCCTCATTTCTTACCTGTCACTCCCCGGAGCATCAGGAGGAGCAGAGCACAAAGGACAGGCAGGATCCGCATGCCTGGGAGTCTCCAGCAGAGTCGCGGCTCTGGGGAGAAGAGAAAGGAGGCAGGGGTGAGTGGGAGGGTTCCTTCCTGCAGGTCGTGTAGCACCTGCGGAGGGACAGAGCTGAGGAGAGGGGATGTGACCAGTCACTGGTGGGAGGATGCACTCGGCAGCCCGGGAGTCGGAGCTTCCTGGCACCAGCAGCAGTGCTTTGGTCTCTCCTCGTGGCACAATGTCCCTTGGGATGGCAAGTCCTCAAAATGTCCAGCCCCAAAGCTCCTTTTTTCCTGTTTCTTCCCCCGACAGAGAAAAACAAGCAGAGCTTTCCTCATCTGACACCTGAGAAGGATTCCCAGGCCTCCAGCCCAGGGTCTTGTGTCATCCTGCCTTGCGTAAGGGCTGCTCGGAGCTGTGGTTTGCTGGACACCTCTGGGGACACACAAACAGCATCCCTGTTCGTTGGGCCTTGGCAAACAATCAGCTTTCACCACACAAAGGAGCTCTGTCCTCCTCCCCCCACGGGAAGCGCGCTCTCTATGCTTCGCTTGAAAATAACTGGGAAGACGCCACTTGGGATGACATCCCCGTCCAACCAGCAATCCCAGGAAGGACAGGGTTTAATTGTGGCTTTGTTTGGTGGAGTTTGCTGTGTGTAACCCTTTGCTGTTTGATGGGGCATCTTCATAAACGTTTCCAGTTGCTGCAGTCTCATCAAGCGTTACGGGCGCATGTGTGGGGATGGATGTGAAAAACACACTCGTGTCTGGTGTGTGTTCACTGAGAGGTCACAGGAATCACAGAGTCACACAATGATTTGGTTTGGAAGGGACCAGGAGGTTCAACCAGTTGCCATGGGCAGGGACACCTTCCAGTAGGTGCTCCAAGCCCCATCCAATCTGTCTTTGAACCCTGCCAGGGATGGGGCAGCCACAGCTCCTCTGGGCAATACATGAAAATGCCTTTGATCGAAGCAACTCACCATATTTCACTGTTTTATCACTCCCCAGTGAGGGACACTGTACAATTTGCAGATCTGTACCCAGGGGGATCACTACTACTCTGCCACGGTAGTCAGAGCACTCAGAACAGCTTCTTATTTCCTTCACTACTGAAGGAAATCCTGATCCTACAGCTACAGCCAGAAAAAGGGAAAAGGCCATGCCCCAATTTTTTTTGATATCTGCTGAGCTGTCTTGGCATCATAGCCCCAGGAGGCAAGGGACTGGGAGCAGCTATGTCCAGTAGTCAGGTTCCTTACAGGGCTTCATTAAGGTGGCAATTAGCTGCATCTCTGTGCTGTTGCTCTTTAGCACACACATCAGCTTAATCCTTGGAAGTGTCCAAGGCCAGGCTGGATGGGGCTTGGAGCAATCTGGGGTAGTGGAAGGTGTCCCTGCCTGTGTCAGGGGAGTTGGATCTATGTGATTTTAAGGTCCCTTCCAACCCAAACTGTTTTATGAGTCTCTGATTCTATGAACTTGAATGTGTAGAGTGCTGGGGAGACGGGATTGGGGTAAAAAGCAGGGAGGAGATGTGCAGCATGGATCCTAGGGGGTTTCAGCCTGTTTCACTCTAAACTGGCTCTCAAAGCCATTCCCCAGCCTTAAAGGCAAGGACAGCTCTTTGTGGTGGTGAGCTAAAAGCATCATGAGACTGGATTCTGCATGATGCTGGCTACAGACAGATGAAATCTAAAATTACAAGGTCGGAACCCTCCCTGCAAAGTCCTCAGTCCTTGAGCAAGAATCTTGTGCCATTCCAGTTTGTGAAACATTCACCTACTGTGGATTGTGCAAAAACCTCTTAGGACACCAACTGTAAATTGCTGGTTTGGGTCCACTTGGCAACTTCCTCAGGTTTCCATCCAGGGAGATTCCTGGGAGGCAGCTGTTGGCCCAGCTTCCTGCCCTGCACAAGGCTGTGGTCTCAATGCTGGTAGAGTCATTTGCAGGAGCATCTGCTTTGAACAGGCCCAGAGAGCGAGGGAGCTGGGCCTGTTCAGTCTGGAGAATACCGAGAGGAGACCTCAACAATCCATATAAATATCTCCAAGGGGTGTCAGAGAATGGTGACTGACTCTTTTCAGTGGTACCCAGCCATAGGATGAGGAGCAGTGGCCATAAACTGAAACACAATAAATTCCACTTCTACTTGAGGAAGAACTTCTTTATGTTGAGGGTGGCAGAGCACTGGAACAGCTGCGCAAGGAGGGTGTGGAGTTTCCTTTTTGGAGACATGCCAAACCCACCTGGATGTGTCCCTGTGTCACCTGCTCCAGGTGACCCTGCCCTGGCTGCAGTGTTGGACTGGATGATCTCCAGAGGTGCCTTCCAACCCTAGAAATTCTGTGATTCTGTGGTTCTGTGGAGGGTGGGAAAATGCTTTGCAACAAATGGGCAGCTCAGGGCTTCGAGTCACTTTGCACTTGGGTTGGTTGCTTCCCTTAAAAAGTCAGGCATTACTGCTCCTCCCTTCACAGAATCACAGAATGGTTTGGATTGGAAGAGGCCTTAAAGACCATCTCATTTCAACTCCCTGCCAGGGGCAGCCACAGCTTCTCTGGGCACCAAGGATTCCTTGTCAGCACAAGGATGCTCCTGCCCGTGCAGGAGCAGCTGCAGAGACAGGAGCTCTCTGAGCAACCTGCACCTTCCACCTTTTCTGTTGTGGTCCAGGGCAGGACAGGCTGAATTTCCTTGAAGAGATCAGAGGCACAGTGGGGTTTGCCTCTCACACCTGTTTCTATAATTGCCTCAGTGTCACAGGTCTAACTCTGATCTCCTGATTTGCAACTGCAGCCAATATCAATTTTGCAGATTTGCTCCAAACTTATATCAGACAGAAATGCCAAGGGTAAAATCAGACTTCAGATTACCAATTTGTCCTGCTCAGTGTGACTTTAATTCTCATAATAAAACAAGATGCTGGTCCCAGGTCTGAAAGCTCTGGGTCAGGAGATGGGAACCCATAGCTTTCAGAGCAGAGGTGCTGTGAAAGCGTCACACTTTAAAGACTTTTGTGCTCCCAGGGGCAATGGTGACTGATCTCAGTCATGACAGAGGATTCCCTAGCAGGTGTGTGTGGAGAACTTGCCAGCACTCACTCAGTCAACAGCCCAAGAGGGGTAAATATTTAGATGAACCACACATTTCTGGCAGGTTTGGATTGATTTCGGAATTCTTGTTTAAAATTCTTAATGGAAATAAGACTTGGGAAATGAATGGGATATTAATTACTTTTGGAAATTAATGACAACACCACACAGTGCAGCCATGCAACCTACCCAGATCTTGCTTTTATTGAAATGAGAATGACAAATTGCTACAACAATTCCTTGAATCCCACGACGTCAAAAGCGATGACTCCTGGAGATTCTCCACAATTAGCCACACTACAACCTACACAAAGGAAAGGATATTTCAGGGTTTTCAGAATTATGATTATGAGGAAAATCCTGCTGCTTGGGATTCAAAGGATAATTTGGGAAGTCATCTTTGCCCCAAATAAATCCTAAACTTACCACCTACAGCAATTATACCCAGAACGACACGACCCCAGGTAATCGTTGCCGCGAGGGCATTTCCCCCTGTGGCAGAAGGTCCCACGATATCCACACTCCATGTAAGGCCTCCTGGGTCTTGCCAAGCCTCTACCTTTAAAAGGAATAAATAAACCAACGAGTAAACAAAGATGGGAGAAATTTTATTTCTGGCAGGGATTTGCATTTTGCTTAATCTCTGTGAGCAGACAATGTTGAGACACTTCAGCCCTCAGAGGACAAGGCCTGTGGTCACAACAACCAAGCACTCTCATTTCTTATTCTGATGTGTCTCCAAGCTCAGGACTTCCTTAGGAAGTCAGATTTTAGGGATGGGCATCAGAGAGCTGATAGAAAACGGTAGGCAGGCACTCAGCAGCTCTTAAAACCCTGTATTTCACAATTCAGGAGATATGCACCAGCTCATCTGGGAGAGAGTCCCACTTGTATAAAAAAGAGGGGAAGAGGCTTTTAATGTGAGCAGACAGTGCTAGGACAGAGGGGAATGGTTTTAAACTAAAAGAGGGGAGATTTAAATCAGGTATTAGGAAGAAATTTTTCCCTGGGAGGTTGGGGAGGCCCTGGCACAGGGTGCCCAGAGAAGCTGTGGCTGCCCCTGGATCCCTGGAAGTGTTCCAGGCCAGGTTGGATGGGGCTTGGATCAACCTGGGATAGTGGAAAGTGTCCCTGTCCAGGGAAGGGGGTGGAATGGGATCATCCTTAAGGTCCCTTCCAACTCAAATCAATTCCACAATTCCATGGTTCTGCAGATTTGGCTGTTTCTCTCCCTGGACATTTCACCCATGTCTCAAAGAGGTCCCGATGTCCAGCAGTCCATAGGGATGGCTTCCATACATGCATAAATTCATCAATCCATGCAGAACAACATTTCCAAACCACCAAACCCACCACACCAGGCGTTGCCCTCTGTGTCTGGAGCTGAACAGTCTGGAATTGCTCTTCCCTACATGTCTAAATGGAATTCCCTGCTGAAATAGGATACCCACATTCAAATTGCCTTTTGGGAAAGGCCACCAGCCTGTGCTATTCCCAGAACAGGTTTTATCCACAAAGGTGCTAATTGTCAGGGATCCAAACAACCCCAGGGAGCAGACTAGCAATTAGGCAGGAGGTTGCCTGACCATGATTCGATTAATAAAGATGTAGCCTGGCAGCTGAGGGTGTACTGGATGCACCTGACTGAGTGCACGTGAGCCAGTTAATTCCAGTTTCCAGCTCATCCATGGAACAACACAAACTCCAGAGCGTTCAGAGAGAGGGGAGCTTGTTCCAGCAAACAGATAATGGATGTTCATATGCACAGTGCATCCAGCACATCCCTGGTGAGCTGCATTCCCAGCATGTGAGTAGAGCGATATATGCACACCCAGAAAATCCCAGGAAGAAGGAAAGGAGTGTTTTAGAGGGGGAATAAAACACTCCTGGTCTCAAACTAGCAGTCTGTGGGGCACTGCAGAGGTGGCTGTGAGCAGTCTGAGCTCTCAGAAACTTTTCTTCCCAGACAGGGATAAATCTCTGGCTTTAATATACCCAGAAGATCCTACTGAAAACAGGCCAAACATCTACTGTGTGTTAAATAAGGACATGGAACCCACCAAAGGAACTCTTTGCCCAGTGTCCTGCCTCTGAGAACTGGCACAGGCAGAGACCCAGATAAGAATAATATCAGACAACCACATAAAATCATAGAATCACAGACTCATTTAGGTTGAAAAAGACCTTTAAGATCATCAAGTCCAACTGTTAGCCCAGCACTGCCAAGCCCACCACTAATCCATGTCCCCAAGTGCCACATCCAGATGGCTTTTAAATCCCTCCAGGGATATATCTGACACTTGTCCCACATTTCTGGTCTGCTGCAGTTCATCACAGTCTTTTCCCCTCCTCACTTCCCCAGAGGACACTTTCCACCCTGTTCCCACAGGGATCAAAACTCCACCAGCCCTTGCTCAGGGGCACAGAGCACTCTGCAAATGTAGCTGTGCCATTTTCAGGGCTGATAATAAAATACAATCCCTTTTTCTGGACAATAGAGTTGGTTTGGGGTTCCAGACTCCTTTGCACCCCACAACAGGCACAGCCTACACCAGCACTTAGGGCTGAACAGGTTTCTCCACCAAGGAGATAAGGATATTTGAAGAACATGGGGCCAGATCCCTTTTTCTTTTTTTTTTTATCTTCTGTGTGGTTTAAGAATATTTGATTATGGTTTAATTTGTTTGTTGGGTGACTCAGAGGCAACGTGATTTAAGTGCAAGCCTGCTAGGTTCAACGGTGGAGAACACTGGTGCTAAATGGTAATTTTGGGGTTGCCCCTTTCAAAGTGATGCTTGGAGTATTTGCCTGCTAATTTAATTTCTCATCTGTAAACTCCAAAGAGTTTTGATGATTTATGTGAGGCTTCTTTGCAAGAGGCAGCATGGTCACATCCCAAAGGGGACAGGAGACCTTTGCAAGACACCATCATCTTCTCTTTAGTCCTTCACCTTACCTGCAGCTCCCTGAAATGCCACCAAGAGGAGAACAAGGAGGAAAGGAAGGATTTTCATGGCAGAGGGTGGCTGGGATCTCGGGTCACTGCAGAGAAGGGAGACCAGGACATTGGTTAGAGCCCTATCCCTCCACAGTCCCAGAAGTGATACAGAGAAATGTTCTTCAGGACCTGGAAGCTACCTAAAAGAGGTTATTGCACATTTTTGTCATGATCATGTCTATTGTCCTAAGATTTTCCTGGAGCACACATAGGATCATGCCATAGGAAAAAAGTTCCATGCAAAAAAATTCAATTTCAAATCCCCTTTTAATTAAGGCATCAAGTGACCAGCAATTTATCCTGGATTTCTTGATAACTTGCAATGCATTGCAATAAATTTTATTTGCTTTATGGAAGGTAAAGCTGTTAATTCAGAAAATAAGACAATTTTTGCTAGATTGACCTAAAACAACCCCATGGGTTTTCTCAAGCTTTTCTACTAAAAAAAAAGAGGAGAAAAAGCAATTTTCTTCTAAATTAACTCAAAAGCCAGCTTTTCTTTATTCTGTCTTGGAGGCTGTTGTTTAATCTTCCTCTCAAGAATTACATTATTTCCAGGATAAATTTTTGAGTATTTGCATTTCTTGCAGCCAAGAAAAACTCCTCTCCCTTATCAACATTCGACACCTCTAGAGCTGGCTCATGACAGCCTGGAGTCACTGCGCAGCTGAGTATAAAACAATAAAACAAAATGCAGATAAACCAGAAAGATATGAAGTCTCCAGCCCGTTTAAGAAGGACAAAACCTTTTGGGAGAGGCTGAATAATGAGAATATTTTGGTTGTTACCAGGCAGGAGGAGCTTTAGGCTGGAACAGTCCCAGGATCAGTGTCAGCCACCTGGATGAAGGAGCAGGGCGTGGGTTTGTGCCGTTCCTGGAGGGTGGTGAGGGATGTTTGATCTCCACAGCCTTTTGGTGGCCAATGAGGCTCTGGAGAGCTCTGGGGGCACCCAATGAATCCTCTTTGCTGCTGTCCTAAGAGGAACCAAGATCTGGCTTTCAAACCATTGCAGCACCACCTCGGGAAATGTGTTGAGATGAGAAAAACCACCCTGGGCCTCCTCCCTTTGAGCAACCCTTTGGCCACAGCAGCTCCCTCAAGGTCTCTGTTTCCATCTGTTTTCAGAGGTTTTACATTTCCTTACAAACATGAACAATACATCACCATAGAAGTAAAATAATCATCATCTGGAATGATGTTAAAATAAAACCCACGTTAAATGGACAGTTAGTTTTTCTTTGGAAATTCAGCAAGAGGGTTAATGGGCTGTCATTAATTCTACATCATTACTGCTGTTGGAAGGGAAAATCTGGACAATTAGAACATGGAAAAATCTGCACTAGGGAATGGCAAGGAAAAAAGTGAGAGAGGGAAACAGGAATCTAAGAGTTAAGAATAAAAAAGGAAAAAGTGGTTTGGTTGTTTTTCAAATTTTTGCATCAAAACATTTTCATTACTAGGTTACCTGCATGGCACATAAGATATTTTATGCCATATCCATTTATGGAAATTATTGCAGCCCATGCCCAGCAATTTTAGTCTTATTGTTATTTTTACTCTCTTGCCATGGAGAGAAGAGTTCTGAGCACATCACTCCTAAGCATCCTCCTTTCTCACCAAGGATTCCTCCAATGGCTCCCTGCTTTTCATGCATTTACAGACATTTCTATAAATTCAGGTGCCTGTTGCAAAGGGATCTTCTCTTTTATCCCTCTTTCCTACTTGAATCCTGCCGGCCCCATTCCATGGGAGTTGCCTTTCTCCACCAGCAGCTGCTGGAGCACGGCTGAGCTCATCCCTGCCAGAGCCTCCCTGGGCTCGCCCTTCATGCCCTGCAGGGATTTTTCTTAGATCTCTTTGTTTTCTTTCCCAATCAAAGCAACTATTTCACTGAGGTTTCCAGCACAGCCTTTTCAGCAGCTTTCAGGCTGCCTGAAGGCTTCTTGTTTCTCTGGGCTGCTGCTTTGGGTGTTTTCTTTCCTTGTTTTTTTGTTTTTGTTTTTGTTTTTGTTTTTGTTTTTGTTTTTGTTTTTGTTTTTGTTTGGTCCTACATTGTGTTTACACATAATTGTGCTGTGGTCACTTCTACAGAGCAGCTCCCACAAACAGCTTTGGAATTGTGTCCTTTGCACCTAATCCAAGAAGGTAAATGTTCTTGTGGATGCCAGGACCAGCTGTTCTAAGAATCATCATTGTGCAGCAAGAAAAATATACATTTTACAGAGGAAAAATCTAATGTCTGCATCTCCTGGCATCATCCACAACCACCGGTCAGATCTGCTCTGCTGCATCACCTCAGGCAAGGGAAGGACCTGCAGGAAATGTGCCCTGGTCCCTGAGTCCTTTAGGGCAGGGCTGTAGCTGAAAGCCTTCCCTGAGGTGTTGTGAGGTGTTTGCAAACAGATGTGCAGCCAAACATCTGGGCTGAAAAGTGTCTCAGCACGTGAGGAACAGCTGGGTCTGTGTGATGTCACCTGTGGGCAGCTCAGCTGGAGCACCGAGTCCAGATCTGGGGGTCC